CAGCCCCACCCACCATGGAGACCCATTTGGATCTCTTGCACGTGAGATAATGCCGAGGAAGTCTTTCTGTGGTAGATTTCAGATTCTCCCTCCTGGTCCCAGCTAGAGATCAGGGTGGAATCTGAGGTTCCAACTGAGCGAGAAGTTCGCACGGACCCTCTTACTATGAATGTTGCCTCCTCTCCTTCTCACACGAATGCTAAAGACTCGGGTCTGTGAACATCCTGCATCTTGCCCTGACAACGGACACCTGTCACGTCATGGCTCTCTGGGGGAGGGGCACTCGGAGACGTGTGCGACCACTCCAGTGCACACCGGAACGTTAGTTCCCCACACCCTCGTCAGTTCGTCCCCTGGCTGCGGAGTTCCTGGGTGGGGCAGAAAGTGGGCTAAGGCATGGACTGTGTCTGAGAAACTACAGGAGAACTTTCCTTGAAAGCTCCTCCGTGTTGGAGGCAGCGGGCTGTCGGTGGGAGGAACCCGAGCCCTGGTTTCAACAGCCCTCCACTGGGTCTTTGGTTCCAGCTGGTTCCTGGCCAGTTCCCCAGGCCCTGGCCCGAAGCTCCCTATTCACACAGCGCAGGCTGACCCTGCTGTCTTAGGGCTTCAGCTGCTAGAGCCTGCAGGCCCCGGGGCCGCCCCCAGGCGCAGGCTGAGCCGGGCCTCACCTGGGACACGGTGATGCCGCACTTCTTGGCCAGCTCCTCTTTGGCTTCCTCACTGGGGTAAGGGTTGCTGAGATGGGAATAGAAATATTCATTCAGGATTTCCGTCGCCTGCTTGTTGAAATTCCGTCTCTTCCGCCTGCATGGGAGAAAGGGAGCAAACGAGACACAAAAACGAGTTCACACCAAATTCACACCAACAGGGAGAGAAGGGGTCCACTGGGAGAAGACAGGACTGTGCCAAGGGGCCGGCTGCCACAGCCATCACACACCCACTTGGGAGACACCCACTGTGCCCGGAAGAGGGCCTGGCGTGGCAGAAGGTCCGAGGGCTTGCCCTCCCGGCCCTGGAGCGAAGCGGCATCTCCCGGTAAGAACAGCCCCACATGGCAGATCAGATGCCCGCTGCCTGCTTTCATGCACACACAGGTGGCTGAGCCCAAGACCACTTTTTGAATAAAAGCGTTTTTCTGCCTTTAAAAAAAAAGTGCTAATTGAACTAATTTAAAGTGAGAATTCCTTCACTGCCTCCTCCCGGAAGGCCTTGTGTGGGGACACGGCTCACTGCAGACGCTGGTCGTCCCCCCCACCCCCGAGCGGGGGCCTCCTTCTTTAAAATAAAATTAGCTCACTTGCCTTTCTTGCTTCTATCAAAAGCTTTTCCTTATGGACAAGATGCCCAGAACGTCCCTGGTTGTGCCAGGATAGAGTTTCCCAATTTAGCCAACAGAAAGCACGGACCACCGTGCTAGACAGGAAATTCAGCTAATATTGTGTTTTCCGGTCCCGCGTGGATTAATTAACACGATGAAGTGCCTGATTTTACCGGGTGAGCACCATCTGTCCACAGGTATGAGCCACATCTGTCCAGACACTGCAAGACGAGTCGCTCTCCCCAATCACGCTGGGTTTCTGGGTCACCAGCATCAGAACTGGGCAGTTGAGTTAAAAACCCAACTGAAAAGTAGGCAAGTGTCTGAAGCTCCCGCGTGACAGGGTCTGGGGGGGAGCCCGAGCTTCCTTGGTCCCAAGCTTGTCCTCGCATCACCTCTGGCTCCCTCTGGGCCTGGAGACAGTTGTTCGGGGCCTGGGGCCCTGCGCCCCGAACGCTGCCCTGATGGGGAGAGCCTCGCTCCTGTGGGGGCAGTCTCCCGGGAGGCCTCACCTCCCAGTGGGCCTGCTCCCCACTCCTTCCCGGCTGTGTCAGCCTAGTCCACACAGACTAGGCCGGCGAAACCCCGGGGCCAGGATTTGTCAGGATTTAAGAAACTTAGCGGAAGTGACACACTTCCCAGGATAGGTGCAGGGACGGAGACACCGGGCTACTCGCTTTGGCTTTAAGTGTTATCAGCTCGCGAACCAGGCCATTCAAACCTCTGAGAGTCGGTCTTTAGACTTTGATTTTAAGAAATATGGACGTGGATGAATTATTCCCAGATAAATGCAGCATATTAGAGAAAAAACTCCTTGAATCTGACAGATTTTAGAGTGGGACACGTAGGCATTGTGGACTTACGTTGCTAAGCACCATACATGCTGTCCCCTGCCCTAACCTAACCCCTAACCCAACCCTAACCCTAACCCTAGCCCTAGCCCTACCCCTACCCCTACCCCTACCCCTGACTCTACCCCTAATGCTGACCTGAGCCCGAGCCCTCCTGTGCCCTGGTCCTGGATACAGGACATAGCTCTGGCTTTCCAGGGGGTCCATCCTGTCCCTGGTGCCCATTGCCCCCCATCCTACCCATGCTTACACAACTTCACCCAGCCACACCACATGCGCCCCGTCCCCCAAAGACACTCCTGGCTTCCACACTCTGCCTTCCCACCCGCCTTGCCTTTCTCACCAGCATGTGCACAGGTGTGTATGTCTCCCAACTGCTGGGCGGTCCCCACGGGGAGGGGCTGTCCCATGCTCATCTGAAACCTGAGTGCCAGCCCACAGTGAGCACTCAGGCCACGCTGTGTAGCTGCTGGAGGGCGCTGTCCATGGCTCCTGCCACGCTGACTTCACCCTTCTCTGAGACTCAGGCCTGTGCCCACCCTGACTCCCTCCTGGCCACTCGGGGTTGGCAGTTGTGTCCCAGGAGTTCACGTGCGGTTTTGTGAGGCGTCTAAGAGCCTCTGTGCCATGAGATGAGCTCCCTGAAGGCTGGGCCCATGCACGCCTTTTTCATCTTTGTTGTTCCAGTGCTAGCTCAGCATCTGGGCTCTATTCGGTGAACAAATCCATCTCTACCGAGCCCTTCTGAGCGCCTCCCTCCCGGTCCTTCCTCTTCCATGGCCCCGTCGCTGTTCCCTTTCTGCAGCCCCTCTATCGGGCGAGGCACACACGGCACTTCTCACCATGGTTACCTTCTTGCTGTTCTCGCCAGCAAAACGTTATCGAAAAAGGCAAATTGTTGCCAGACAATCATTAAGAGCAGCGGTCGCCAACCTTTCGGACCTCATGGACCACCAGTCCAACGTAAATACCGCTGGTTGGTGACCACTGATTAAGAGGGTTTATAAGTCCTCTCTCTTTTAACTGCAAAGAAAAGGAGTAGAGTTCGGATTCTGAGCGCTAGCCTGCTAGGTCTCCGTGCTGGCACCTTGCCCATAAACCGCTTTAATCTCCACACTTGCACAGCACGAGGCTTGGTGCATGGCATGAGATGATGAACATTGAATGAATGGGTGAATTAATGAACGAGTGGAATTTTTAAGCCGCCATTTTCTGGCTCAGTTAAGCCAACGTAAGGCAGAGAAAAAGGAAATGACTTGCATGGACGAAACCTGGGCAGAGCTCAGGGGAAGAGGGGGAGGCGGATTCTACAGAGCCCGTGGGGACCTGCGCTCACAGCTCCTGGGACACTGAGAGCAGCGCAGGCTCTGGTCCTCGGGTGGGAGTCCACGGAGAGGGGGCACTGGGCTAACGCTTGCCATGGCGGGATCCCCCTGCCGGCCGTGTGGGCCGCCTGTTGGAGGGGCAGCTCCCAGAGCCTGGACCTGCCCCAGAGTTGTGGGAACTGAACTCCGCCCCGTGGAGAGAGTTTGGAAGAGGTCCTGCGCCTCAGGTGAGTCCGGCTTCGACCAGCACCTGGGTCACAGCTTTGCGACCCCAGGCAGCAGGGACGGTGAGGCACTGTGTTAGCGGCTAAGTCTGTGGCTGTGTTAGGAGACAACTGGGAGCGAACACAGGGGTGTACACAGCACAGCAGGAACATGTGCGTCTACATGTGTGGTGACCTAGCACACACGCATCCCCTTTGCGTGTTACCCCTCCCCGTTACCCCTCGCTCTCTGCTGAGCCCCCGCAGCCTGGCCCGCGGCAGCGGGGAGGGGCCATGACTGCCCGGCAGGCGCCGCACACTATATTTGTGCTCAGAAAGCCATTGGCTTGGCCCTGGATGGCGTTGGGGGTTATATTCTTTCACTGACACCAAATATACCCTGAGAATAAGCGCCAAGAACGACTGGCTCAGCTGTGCTCACTGGGACCGTGGCTCAGAGGCTGTGATTCAAAGGTCGCACCCCAAGCAGGAACGAAGCTCCCTGGAAGGGATGGTCTCGGGCCAAAGGAAATGGTCGGTGTGGAGGCCATGGGAGCCGAGGCCCTGGCTTTGCGTCCGACCGCGGCCCGGATGCAGCAGGATTGCAGCAAGGACAGTCTGGGCGCCGGCCTGCCCCCTTCTCCCCGCCTCCTTTCTTGAAAAGAACTCAGTCTGGGTCCAACTTTTCTTTTTTTCAGTATCTGCCAACATAAATACCAACTCCAGCATTTTAACGAGGGGTGTTGCCATGGGGATGGCAGAGTGGCGGCTGCACTCAGGGAGGGACCCGAGGCTGCCCGTCACTTGCAGGCCGCCCTGCGAGGAATAGCCTGTGTGAGAGAAGCCAGGCTGGCGGCCTTGGAGGAGGGGGACGCAGGGTCCTGCCTCGGGGACCCCCCTCCCCACTCATCGGCACGCCCAGCCAGGAAAAGCCATCTTCAGTTTCACTTTCTCTTGGCTATTCCGCCGGCCCAGAGGCAGGCTGCTGGCTGGCGTTCTCACGCTACGCTCCAGGGGGGCCCACAACACACCGAACAACAGGGAGTGAGGGGATGCCAGGCCTGTGGGCGGCAAAGGCCACGATGGAGCAGAGAGAAACACACGATTCCAGAGGAGACAAATGCAGAGAGAGCAGCCAGCCTGTCTGAAAAAGCCATGACCGTGAAACGGTGCACCCCTGATACATCTGTTTAATGATAAAAATCAGAGTGGGACTGTCTTCAGAAAATGGCACAAGGAAGGTGACTCCGCCTTCGTGGGAGATGCCCCTGGGGACGAGGTGCAGCCAGAGAGGCAACCTCTCTGAGGGGCGTCTGCGAGATCACACGGGCGCCGGAGAAGTCCAGCACTGCCTGAACCCTCTGGTCTGGGGAGGAGGGGCTGAGAGCCATGGCTTGTCATCTGTTCTCAGGTTCAGTCTTAAAGGGCCTTTGTATCCATGGTTTCAACTGAATTCTTTGAACTCACACGAGGCCCTTAGCAGCAATCCCAAAGAAAACATGGAACCTGAGCCAAGGTTCGGCCCCTGTGCACCAGCCCTCACTCCCTGTGCCCCCGGGACCGTGTCTCGCCGTCTGTTCTCCTAACCTCAGCCTGGAGCGTGGCAGTGGCGATCGACCTGCACATGGCCTGGAGGGGGTCCCAGCTCTCAAACGGAACTGCCTTTCCAGGGAACGTGTCGGGCCGCGTGCTAGTGAGACCCTATAAAGACGGGCCCGTAGAGGAGGTCCCCGCCCGGCCGGGCACTCAGTGGGTTAAAGCATCGTCCCCCATACACCAAGGTTGTGGGTTCCATCCCCGGTCAGGGCACATACAGAGTCAACTAATGAATCGAGTATGAATGCAAAAATGAGTGGAACAACAAGCCAATGTTCTCTCTCTCAAATCAATAAATTTTAAAAAGGAGGTCCCCAGTAGTAGGAAAAAGTCCTGCCTTTGCTGTCCCCATAGCCACGTCGTCCTTGCTCCGGAATGGACACGGCCCTCCAGCCCCACGCTTCCTGCAGCTCTGGCCACAGTGGCCTCCCTGGCCCACGCCCTTCCTCGGCTCCCTGGGGAAACCGGGGCCTGGAGCGGGGCTGCAGCCCCAGCCCCCTGGACGCTCCCAGAGGCCGGGCCGAGGGCGACTCACCGCGCGTCCAGGAACCGGGAGCGCAGGATCATGACGGCCTCGCACGTGCTCTGCTTGAGCTGCATCTGGATGGAGCTGAACTTGCGGTGGATGATGCTCACCATCCGCTCGATCTCCTTCGGGGAGATGGGCCTGGTCCGGCTCTGCTCGCGCAGCAGGTTCATCACGTGGGTGGTGAACTCATTGCAGGCCTGCGGGGACAGGACACGCAGGTGAGGGCCGGCGGGTGTGCGGCGCCCGGGATGTGTGTGCAGGGACCTACAAGGTGTTGGTGGCATTCTGTCAAGTCGGAGGCACAGACCAAGTGACGGCCTGACGCTAACCTTGGGCCATCCATAGATTTTAAGAGAAAAGAAAATTCTTAATCATGTTTCGATCTTTTTCCCCATGATTTTACTACTGTAAAGGATGAGAAGATAATTTCAGTGTAAAATACACGTCACAACCCCCGCCCCCTCCGTGTTCACAGCCACAGAGAGTGTGGGGCCACAAAAGCACATCCTGCCTCGTCCACGGAAGAGTGGGATCCTGGGATTCTAAGCTTCTCACCAACCCATTTCCACTCCTGCTTTTGTTACAAGGAGTCCCTCCTCGCTGGCCTCTGGGAGGCCCCGTGCCCACAACGCGAGGGGCCCGCAGGCATAGCCTCACCGCGGGGCTTAGAGGGTTCAGGGGCTCGCACTGCAGACAGGAGCCTAGCAGGGTGTAACCGCGGTGCCCTCAGGCCCAGGCATCCTGGCCTCCCCTCTGACCCGCTGCCCTTTTCTTTAGTGTCTGTCCTTATCACCTGTAGCCAGGTTTCCCAGCTTGGCACTCAGTAAAGCACCTGTTCCCAGGTGAACTCATGCAATGCCGTCCGAGTGAAGTCGATGTGTAAAGGAAAAGGCTGTTGTGAGAACCCAAGACTCAGAGGGTCCAGCCCAGTCTTAACCACGAAATGCATTCGTGATCGACAACAGGTATTGCCACGTTTCAGCAGCACGAAGCCCTCCTGTTGGTCAATGATGCAGCAACAGTACCAGCCACGGCCCCTCCCCGAGCCATCCTTGAGGTTGGCTGCCCAAAGGTACGCAGAGATGCATCCTCTGGGACTGGGAGGCTGGCCTTGACCTGCCTCCTCGCGGATTTGGGTGAACCCTTTTACCACCCAGAGCTCCCTCTGTTCATCTGGGTGGGCGCGACCATTCCTGACCCTCTAGCGAGCCTGGCAGTGCCCACACTCCTGAGCCGTGCCCTGCGGTGGGGCCCGTCGCTGGGACACAGCAGAGGCCGAGGAGGAGTCCCCTCTGGGACTCCCTGGGCTGAGGTCCTTCGGGAGTCACCTAACATAGCGTCTCTGCCTCATCTTCCTTATTAGTGACGTGGGTGACAACACCCACCTGGGAGGTACGGCGAGCAGGAACTGAGTTACTGGGCCATCTAATCGTGTATCACTGTCTCTTCAAAGACCGATAACTTAGAACCCAAAGTATTATCACAACTGGGTGAACTCCTCCAGGCCTCAGACTCCCTCCTGGTAAAAACAAAAGGGCTCCTAGGTACCTTCCTTCTACTCTGCAGACACCTGCTAAGGACCAATCCATGCACAATCGGTCCAGGTGGCCTCTGCTCTCCACTAAGATGCTACCATAGAAACAGGCTCTGTATTATAAGTTTTCTCTGCCCTGAAGCACCCCACTTTGTGTACAGAAAAGGGGGTAAACCCAGCAGTGAGCCGTGGGACTCCAGGAGGCTCAGGGTGGGGTGCGGGTTCGGGGCAGCAGCTTCACCTCGGGGGCCAATGAGGAGGCATTGCCAAGGGCACTGGCTCCCACCGCAAAGCTACAGGGGGGAGGGCAAAATTAATGTGCTTCGCTGCTGAGAATAAAAGCACTCACACTGCCTGCTGTTAGGGCCTTTTCCCTGGGGCCTCCTGCTCAGCCACAGGCAGACAGTGGAGTCCCCCACCCATTGCCCAGCGGCAGCCAGACAGCTGCTGGCCAGCTGCTAAGATGTGTGGCCGGCAGCTTACGACATTCCAAGTCCGGGAAGACGGACAGAACGTCCCGACCCAGATCTCTCCAGACCTCGACTGCCTGCATCCCTTCTCCGTCCCCCAGGCTCGGCCCTGATACTGGGCTGCCCCCTCAGAACCATGGCCGGGCTACAACTGCCAGTCAGTGCAACCCACACAGGCGGGCGGTTTCTGGGACGGAGGGGACTGCTGGAGAGGGTTGCGGGACGGTCCCTTCCCGGAGCCAGCGCTGCAGCGGCCCCCAGGGGCAGCGGTTTCTGAAATGCTGTTCCTGGGAGAGCAAACGCCTCTGAGAAAGTCTGGCTCCAGGCCCTGGATCGGCCTTACATCCACCTTCTTCCCTTAACCCTTCCCCCAGGAGGGGAGGCCAGTCTCATCGGGGGTGCGAGCGACCAGCCCAGGTCAGCCCTGGAGACCGGCCCGTCCATGTCCTGGCAGCACTGCTTACAGAAGCTGGGAGCCTGCAAAGCCGCAGGAGCCCCGTTTTCTGAAGAAAGCACATGGGCTAGCCCCCAGGTTCCCGCCATGGCGGCTTTGTTAGAACAGCCAGCTCCCCAGGCCTCCGCCTCAGGGTGGCTGCTGAAGACGTGTACCAACCCCGTCTAAGGAACAAAACAATTCCTCCCCTTCTTTCTATTGAGTGTCTCCAGCAGCTGCGGACAAGTAACCCGGTGGGCAGTGCTGTGCAGGCAGCTGTGGTGGCTGGCGGAGGGGGGGGCAGGGGGGCACATTACGGGAAGCCCTCAGGGCTCCTTAAACCTGGTTCTCTACCAGCAACAAACTAAAATTAAAACAACACACACACAAAACTATTCAAGAGTCAACTTGATCATTGCATCTAGGTACGAACACCACTTCCTCTACTGAGCTTTCCTACTTTTCAAAAAGCTGCCAGAGGAATGGTCACAGAAAAGTGAGTAAGATCGGTCTCAGTTGGACCGGCTGGAAGGCTAACGGCATAGGCACAGGCCCTACAGCCTGCTCTTCACTATAATAAGCAGCACAGCTAATATGAGCACGAGATTAAGCACCCAGATGTGCTGAGTGGATTCGGCTCTCAGCCGGAAATGCTCGCGTGGGTGAGGCGGTGATTTCTTAGTCCTTCAGAGTGATGGCCAGGGACCATTCCCACCACACGTGAGCAGGGCTCTGTGAAGGCGGGATCCCCGGAGCACCCAGGACCCAGCACCTTTGTCAGGGGCACAGGTACCTGCCTGAGGAGCTGCTGAGGGTGAACATGATCCCAGGCTCCTGGGGCCAGCAAGCAGTCCACAGAGCCACAGAGGGCAGGCTCGGCCCTTCATGGCCACAGCCGGGCCCTAGGACAACCTGCCCACGCTGGCTGAGCCCCAGGCAAATCACCTGACCTTCGACCTCCGTTTCTTCACCTGTACCAATCGGAGATGATGACAGTACCTGTCCCAGTGACTGTGACAGTAACCTGTACCAATCGGAGATGATGACAGTACCTGTCCCAAGCACAGAATACCCTGGAGGAAAATGCAGTAGTCGTGGCTTCCTCATTTGGGGTGACAGAGGAGTGATGGGGTTAAATCAGAAAGACAGTCAGCTCTATGCTGAGAACAAAGCCAGTTCCCAATACCTTCCCATCTAACGTCCACTCCAGGGCTGGGTGTAGCGGGGAGGCCGCACTCCAGGCTCTTCTGTGCCCGGGAGTTGGGCGTGAGCTCCCTGGATGCCAGGCCAGGCAGTTATGCCAGAGACAGGCTGACTGGTGGAGGGAAGGAGGAAGAAGCCAGAGAAACCAGAGGCCGGGACCTTTGGTAGGAAATGTCCCCGTGTCTTCCCAGGGTGCCCCATCCCTCAGGGTGACTGCCCTCTGGCTCCTGGGTCAGCCAGCTCTCCACACACACCCCAGGGCCCGGGAATGTCCACACAAGCCAACCTGCGGCAGGGCCGTGGTTCTGAAGGCAGGGGTGGCACAGCTGGCTTCCCGGCCGAGCCTCCCACCCGTCTGCTTCACCAGGCCTGGACCAAGCGCCAGTTTATCTCATTAACGAAGGGCTTTGGCAGAAATGCACTTCGAAGGTAGGTAGATCTGAGTACAACAATGAAACCTTCTTCACTTTAACTTCTTAAATGCCTATTTCTACTTTAAAAATTAAATTGTCTATTAAGTTTGCATCTGCCTTCTACCTAGACCAGTGATGGCGAACCTACGACAAGCGTGTCAGAGGTGACATGCAAACTCATTTTTTTGTTGATTTTTATTTGTTAAATGGCATTTTAAAATATAAAATAAATATCAACAATATAAATCTTTGTTTTACTATGGTTGCAAATATCAAAAAATTTCTGTATGTGACACGGCACCAGAGTTAAGTTAGGGTTTTTCAAAATGCTGACACGCCGAGCTCAAAAGGTTCGTCAACACTGACCTAGACAGTCGTAAGTGGACTGGAGGGCAGGGCCTTCCCCTTTTGCTCTTCCTCCCTCTTCTTTTGGGACCCAAGGAAGGAGAGAAAGCCAGGGGCCTGACAGTCAAGGGAGGAAGTCAGCTGTGGTGTCAGGACAAGGCTGCCGTCAAGGCGGGGAAACCAGACATCTATCAATCAATGAGGGAAGGCTGGTGTAGGGACTCATGCTGGCCACGGAGACAGCGTGATGTGTGTGTCACTGTGTCACCCAGTGTGAGTGTGTATGAGTGCATGTGTGTATGAGTGTGTGTCACTCAGTCAGTGTGAGTGTGTATGAGTAACTGAGTCTGTGAGTGAATGCATAAGTGTGTGTGAGTGCATGTGTGTGTGAGCATGTGTGACTGTGTCTGTGAGTGTGAGAGACTGAGTGTGAGTGAGTGCATGTGTGTGATATGGTGATTGTGTGTGAGACTGAGTGTGTGAGCGATTGTATGAGTGTGTGTGAGACTGTGACATTGTGAGTGTGTGAGAGTGAGTGTATGTGTGTGTGTGTGAGACTGTGACATTGTGTGTGAGGCTGACATTGTGAGTGTTTGAGAGTGAGTGTGTGAGAGTGAGTGTGAGACTGTGACATTGTGTGTGTGACTGAGTGTGAGTGTGTGAGAGTGAGTGTATGTGTGTGTGTGTGTGAGACTGACATTGTGAGTGTGTGAGAGTGAGTGTATGTGTGTGTGTGTGAGACTGTGACATTGTGTGTGTGACTGAGTGTGAGTGTGAATGCATGTGTGAGTGAGATTGTGAAATTGTGTGTGTGAGAGTGAGTGTGTGTGAGATTGTGAGATTGTGTGTGTGGCTGAGTGTGAGTGTGTGAGAGTATGTGTGTGAGATTGTGAGGTTGTGTGTGTGACTGAGTGTGAGTGTGAGAGTGAGTGTATGTGTGTGTGAGTGCACGTGTGTGAGTGAGCGTGCGGGTGTAGAGGGGAGGTCTCAGCTGGAGGAGCCCCTCAATGAGATCCTCACCCTCACAGATGGCTCTGCCTTTCGCAGCTGCTCCCACCCTTTCCTGTAACAGCCTCGACTCCAAAAGCTCAGCTCTTTGCCCCGAACCACCACCCTGGGGCAGCTTGTGGAACACTGGGTCCCACAGACCGTTGCAGGGGACACACTCACTCCCACACACACTCATAGGTCCTACAGGCCCCACACCACTGCAGGGAACACACTCACTCCCACACACACTCATAGACACAGTCACACAGGCCCCACAGCATTGCAGGGGGCAGGATTGGAACCTGCGTCTGTCTGACTCCAGGGCCCCAGAGACCCTGCTCTGTTCATGGGGGCGGAGGGCACCCGCGCATGCCCTGCACGATGTGAAAGGAAGGCGTGCTGGACTGCAGATGACGGAGTCTAGGCGGAGCGAGGACCCGGCGGGCATTACCTGCTCATACTTCTCCAGCTCCGTGTGGTAGATCTGTCTGATCTGCGACAGCTTGGCTCTGTAGTCCGAGTGCTCCACCGAGTTGTCAGAACCGGC